GCAGCCTGAGAACCCAGCACGTGGCGGAGCCGGCGAGCCCCGCAGACACCCCCGGGCTCGGCACGCACCCAGGCCACTCCGAGGGCGGGCCCTGCACCCCACTGCCCCCTGCCCTGCCCACACCCGCCTCCCCAGCTTTGCCAGCCCCGCGCTCCGGATCCCAGGGCTCAGCAGACTCGCGGGGGGAGTCTGAGCAGACCCATCGCGCCGGAGCTGGGCGGAGGGCGGGTGCCCCCGGCCCATTAACCCTTTGTCCCATCCCCGCTCTGGGTGAGATGCCCAGGAGCCCAGCGCAGCTCTGGGCCGCCCCGATCCACAGCGGGAGGCCTGCAGAGCGCGTCAGCAGGGGCCTGGGCTGATACAGCCCCTGGCAGGAAACCTGGGCTGGTCCCACTACAGCCCTGCCCGTCCCCTCTCCCGACAGCTCAGCCTGGAGCCAGGCCAAGCGCAGGGAGCAGGGCTAAGCTGCCCTCCCCTCCTCCTATGCCAGGCAGATCCCTCCCTGGGCAGCCTTAGCCAGAGGGGAGATAGGGGCCCTGGCTCCCCACAGCCCCCTCGCCAGAAGGCAGCTGGTGCCGTGGTTCTGTGCCTGTGGCACAGAAGAGGAGGATGGAGGGGCCAGGCAGCCCGAGGGACACGGGGCTGGAAGCCGGTCAGGGCTGGGGGGGATGAGGTTTATTATCACCATGGAGGGCGCTTTGCCCAGAGGGGGCAGGAAGTGTCCAATCACTGGCAACAAGGCCCCACCCGCTGCCCCGCCCGGCCCTGCCTGCGCTCCCCCGCCAGCCCCGGCCCTGCGCAGCCTAGAGGTGCCAGTGAGCAGCCCCCCATCCCATGCACACTGCTCAGCAGGGGACTCACCACGCCAGCACCAGCCCCACAGACCACGGCCTCCCTGGCCAGGCTATTCCAGGGCATGGCCTGAACCCTCCTTTGCCTCCAGGGCCAGAGGGTCCCAGAGCTTCTCCTGCCTGCAGCCCGATGCCTGGCGTGGGTGGAGCTGAGCCCTGGTCCTGGGGTGCTCCGGGCAGCACCCCGAGGCTGGGATCCTGCAGCTCTCCACAGACCCCGGCACCTCACACGAGAGCCCCCGTCCCACCTCCCTGCCTGCGCCTGCTGCTCTCGGACGCCGGCACGGCTACTGCCAGGCCCCTTCCACGAGCCCCAGCATTGCTCAGAAGCCACGTAAGGCCTCCCACGAGCCACAGACCCAGTCTGCCCCAGCCCCGATTTGGGGCACCGCCAGCTCCTGCTCGTGCCTTTGCTGGGCGCCCCCGTCACTGGGAGGGGGTTCCCACAGCGCCGGAGCAACGGGGTGCAGAGCAGGGAGCAACGGCGAACAGGCAGGAGACGAAACGGGCAGCAGCCGCCCTCCTCCACGCGGAGACCTGGCTCCAGGAACGAGGCGCGTCCTGCCTGCCTGAGCATGCCTGGTGGCAGCTGGCTAGTGCCTGCTGCTCAGGCAGAAGCAGCTGGGCAGGTGCCAGTCTGACAGCTGGGGTCACGGCGTGGGCATCCTGGCCAGGACAGCCTCCAGCGCTCCAGCGGGCAGCCACAGG